GGGACTGTAGGGGATTCTGTGGAAAATCCGCATGAGCGCCCTCCACCGAATCTGTGGCCTCGCTGCTTCTATCTGCCTACAAGCCTATCGTCGGGAACCATATACTCACTCTGATTTCTTAGCAGTTGCTTCCGATCTTGATGCTTGGGAGCGTGAGTTATATGGCGATAACCCGACCCAGCATCCCCCCCACGATAGTAATTACACTCGAGATGGGGGGTTCAATGTCTCTGTTCTGGAGACTGCATTGATAAGGCGCCAACTTGATATGCAGCATACCCTTTCGGGTGGCGACCCGGACCCCACTGTTCGCACGTTTGTGCCTACATTCTACATACTCCTGCCCACTACACCGCTCTTGTCCGTGCCTCTGGTTCTTGGGAATTATGGAATGGCGGTGCTATGGTGCAAACTAGTACTGCCATCTGTGATCTTGTGCGTAATTACCCTAATCTGCAACTGTTCCAGGTTATTGACCCTATGGGTACTTCGAGTACTTCCGTGCCTGCCTCTGCGCCCGTCTCTGTGTCTGACCCCACACCTGTCTCCGTGCCTGTTTCTGTGTCTGTCTCCTTTCAGGTTATTGACCCTATGGGTACCTCGTGTACTTCCGTGCCTGCCTCTGCGCCCGTATCTGTGCCTGCCTCCGCACCTGTCTCCGTGCGCATCTCTGTGTCTGTCTCCGTGTCTACCTCCATGTCTGTCACCGTGCCTGCTTCATTCTTTTCCCCCCCACATACTGCATTAACACCTTGCGACCTCCTTTGTGAGATCACTGACACAGTTACACTTGGTTGTGGAAAGCATCGACTTTGTCGACATCACTACAACCGTATCATTTTTCGGGCCCACTGTCGGCAGGGATGCCACCTGTATCCGGACTATGAACATCCTCTACATCCAGGTGCAGTATGTCCCATCTGCGCCTGTGGGCGCTATAGAGAATGTGCACTTAACTGTGATGGTGAACGCCCCACAATTGTCATGGCCTGCAACGGGCATGCCCTCTGCCGTGCATGCTTCAGAGGTATGGTTGATGCTAGCCGTCCTGACCCCTGCTGTGACGAGGTTGCTTGCCTGAATCGTCTTCGTCCTATAGATCGGCGGGAGGGCTTATCCTTATGATAGTTGTCCTATCTGTCGTGAGGGTCTTACACAGATGTACCTTGCACCTTAACAAAAAGGTGCAGGTGCGTGGGAGACCCTTCACTAAAACTGCAAGACAGTGAAAGAAGAATGCAGTAAAAGAAAGAAGAAGTTTGTGTCATTTTACTTCGTTTGTACCCTGCACCCTAACACCCTCAAAGAAAAAGTCAGAAGGGTGAAAATGAGAATAAAAAGTAAAAAGTGGAATCGCTGCAGCCAGGCTACGGCCAAGGAGAGGGGCGGACAGGGGGGCGGGCCTGTTGTTGTCACACTGCTTGGGCTTTTTTTTGTGTGTGTCGTCATATTCGCTATACACTAAAAAAAAACATGACTGTGGCAGACTGTTTCCAACTGATCAGGAGGTTGTGTGTGTGTGTGTGTGTGTGTGTGAGAGAG